GGTGTGGGATGTGGAAAACAAGATAAAACAAGGATAAAGCTCGCTTAGCTAACTTTCCCCCCTACCGATATATATATATATATATATATATATATATATATATATATATATATATATATATATATAAACATAGAAGTAAGCGTTGAGCTTTTGGGGTAGCTTTCAAAGCAGCTCCTTCTCTCCTTCTCCTAATCGTTGAATCGTTTCGCTTCAATTGTTCCTTTTCTTTCATCATTCACTTCCTATTTACCGTCTTTTATCTTAATTTTCAACTCCTTCACATAGGCAAATCGTTTTTTTTTTCAAACCAAAATTTAAAAAAAAAAACCGAAGCTAAAAAGTAAAAAGTAACCTAAACTAAAGAGCAACCGTAATTTTAAATCCTTCAAAGGGTAAAATTTATTTTAGTTAATAAAATCGGATTCTAACTAAAAACATAAATGACATTAGTTTTAAATATAACTAAACTTTAAAGAGGAAATTTAAATTTAATAGCAACCTAAGATGTAAAAGAAATCGAAACTTTTTTTAAAAAAAACCTAACCTTTAAAACAACCTAAAATTAAGATATAACTTAAAATTCACCGAAGCGTAAAATTTATTTCACTCTAAAAAACAACTGGAATTTAATATAGTTACATAAATTTATATGCAAACTCAACCTAAAAGTACCTAAACCTGAATTTGAAAAATTAACCTAAAATTATAAACTTAAATTTAAAAATAAACTCAATTAAAGAATATTGTTTTTTAGTTTATATTTTAAAATTTGGATTGCTTCTAAGTTTTGATTGAATTTTAATTAATTGTTATAGATTTAAGTTTATCTTTGGTTCAGGTTTAATTTAAGCTTAGATTTAGGTACAGCATTGTTGGTTTCATTTTAGTTTAGGTTCAAATTTAGCTATATAGCTTCGGTTTAATTTTAACTTTGATTTAGGTTTATATTTGGTTTAGGTTTAATTTTTAGATTTAGGTTTTTTTTTAGTTTAATGTTAGCTTATGTTTAGGTTTAGTATTGGTTCAGGTGTAATTTTAGTTTAGGTTTTAATTTTAGGTTTAGATTTAGCTATTGCTTCAGTTTAATTTTTTGCTTATTTTTAGGTTGAGCTTTGGTTTGGGTTTAATTTAGGGTTTAGGTTTTGTATTGATTTAGGTGTAATTTTAGTTTAGGTTTAGGTTTAGTATTGGTTTAGGTGTAATTTTAGTTTAGGTTTTAATTTTAGGTTTAGATTTAGCTATTGCTTCAGTTTAATTTTTTGCTTATTTTTAGGTTGAACTTTGGTTTGGGTTTAATTTAGGGTTTAGGTTTTGTATTGATTTAGGTGTAATTTTAGTTTAGGTTTAGGTTTAGTATTGGTTTTGCTGTAATTTTAGTTTAGGTTTTGGTTTAGTATTGGTTTAGGTGTAATTTTAGTTTAGGTTTAGTATTGATTTACGTGTAATTTAAGCTTAGGTTTAGCTTCTGCTTCAATTTAATTTTTATTTATGCTTATAGGTTTAGTTTTAAATTTTAGCTTAGATTTGGATTTAGTTACCTTTGAGATTTACGTTACTTTAAAGTTGTTATCTGACTTAAAGTTAATTTTAACCTAAATCATTCTTTAACCTCAACTTCCTTTTAAAATTAATCTGTTTTACAATGCAAGATTTTGCTTAATTTTACAATTAGTGTAAAAATTTTTGTCTTTTCTGGTTTTCAAAAAATCCTTTTTTTTCACAAAAAAAAAAAAAAATTCTTCACTAAATTCCTGGAAATAACGATACAATATTACTTACAACTTATTGCTTCTATTTCCTTTTAATCTTAACTTACATTTTTAAATTCTCTTTCCCTTAATACTTTGAAAAGAAAAACATAATTTAGTTCATATAACAAAATTGAATTTACTTGATTTTATGATTTTAGTAACTTTTAGCCGTTTTTTTTTTTTTTAAATATAACTCATCAAAATGTTTTAAAAATACAAAAGCGTTTCGAAAAATACATTTGAAATAGAAAAAGTACAATAAAAGAAATTAATTTAAATATCATTTGTGACACGCGAATTGGAAATGAAAATCAAGATCGTGTATGTATTAGAGAGGGAGATTTAAAGTCACAAATGGAATAGCGGAAAAGGACATCTCCATTTGGAGGCTGTTAAGGACAAGTTAGGGTGGCAACAGTTATCCAAAGTAGGCTTTCTCTCTCTCTCTCTCTCTCTTTCACTCTTGGGAGATTCGAATTTGGTTTTGCAATTCAAATTGACCATTGAGGCACGAATAACGTTTCTCTTTGACAAATGTATAGAAAAATAAATAAAAAGAAGAACAACAATAACAAAAAAAAAAAAAAAAAAAAAAAACACATTTCAAGTACCAAGAGACGGACAAGACAATGGGATGTTTAGAGATCTCCTTACACGATACAAACGCACGCGAGGACCCACCGCTATTCTCGTGATTCTTTTCTATATATATAGCGAAACAACGTTCGCACCCAATCTGCCTGTGGAGATCGCCAAAAACAGGACAAATTGTCTCGCTCGTCGAGTAAAGTCAGCCTTTTCTCGAGAGAGAGAGAGAGAGAAAATAAATGTCGTCACTCTAACTATTATGTCCAGGTTACATGAAACTTTCTCAAAAGACAATTTGACAATTGAGTGGGAATTTTTTTTTTTTTTTTTTTTTTGAACCTAAATCAAAGCTAAAATCTAAGGTCGTACTATTAAACCTAAATCAAAACTAAAACGTAAGGAAAAACTTAAAACCACAACCTAAGGTAAACCTAAACCCGCTTAAATCTATAAAGTAAAATTAAACCAAAATTTAACCTAAATTTAAAATTAAACCAAAACCTATAAGCAAAATTCAAATTTAACCTAAAAAACTAAGCTAAAATTAAACTTAAACCTAAAATCAAACCTGAATCAAAAGCTTAACCTAAATTTTTTCTTAAAATTTAACCAAAACCTATATATAAGCTAAACCAAAGCTTAATCTTAATCTAAGTTAAAATTAAATAAAAACCTAAGTTAAACATAAACGTAATCTAAAAACAAACCTAAACATAAATCTAACCTAAAAATAAACCAAAACCAAATCTAAAAACCTATATATAAGCTAAACCAAAGCTTAACATTAATCTAAGTTAAAATTAAATAAAAACCTAAGTTAAACGTAAACGTAATCTAAAATCTAACCTAAAATTAAACCGAAACCAAATCTAAACTACCCAACCAAAAATTTCAGTATTATACCAGAGTTGACGAGTACCAGAGTTATCATCCCAAAATTACGCTAACTCTGGCGCCAATACTGGCTGCCAGTACTGCGCCATTAGTAAATTTTTCATTGGGTATAAGTTACAATTAAATCTAAACTAAAGATTCCACAAAAAAAATGTTATAATTTTTATTTATTTCTTTTTTTTTTGCTAATAAATTTTAAGGTAAAACATATTGTTTTAAATAAAATAAAAAAAAAAAAGTAAGAGAGACATTTAACACGAGTTTCCTGTACAAATTATTATTTTCATCAATATTCTTCTCTGGACCCTCTCTCGCTCTCTTTCTTTCTCTCTCTTGTAAAGCAGAAAGGAAACTTAAGAGGGGAACGACGAGTCTGGCTTTTTCTGACGGTTAATTTTCATGATACTTCTTAATTATAATGAGACACTTTAGGGGTGGTAGAAAAGAGTGAGATTTATGTAAATCAGTAGCTAATGTCTTTTGGCATTATATGGCCATGGGGATAATTTTCTGACGATGAAATAACAGGATGAGAATTGAAAGGATCATATATAGCTATATATTAAACTAAATTATATGTATAAATATTCATATAAAATATAATATATAGTATATAATACAATATAATATAATAACGATTTATTGTTATTAAATAATATTGATCATATAACTATTAGTAGTACAATATTACCCCATAATTTTTGGGGCAATATTGTATTATTACGGTCAAACATCCCCCATAGTATTTGGGGCAATTTTATATTGTTATTATTTCAATTTTACCCAATATTATTTTGGGACAATATTGTATAGTTATTAGTTCAATATTACCCCATAATATTGGGGTAATATTTTATCGTTATGGTTAAACTTTATCCATATACTATTTGGGGCAATATTGTACACTTATTAGTACAATATTACCCCTTCATTAACTGAAGCAATATTGTATAGTTATTAGTTCAATATTACACTGGGGCAATATTGTATATCATTAGAATTAAACTTGGGGCAATTTTGTATTATTTTTCAATATTACCCCATATTAATTGCGCGACACTATATTGTACAATTATACTATATATATATATAGTTCACTATTACCCCACAATAATTTGATCGTTATTACCCCCCAACTCTTCAAGAAAATAATAAAATATAAATATATTGATCACCGCTAATATTGCTTCGGTTAAATATTTTTATAATATAATAATATAATAATTAAATAAATTATAATAAATATATAATGAAAATATTTTTTGAAAAATTAAATTATATATTCGCAATATATTTTTCCATTATAGAAAACACGCGCAATTTATGCGCATTTGTATATTTTATCCGCGGATATATGGAAAAAGCAAAAGGGGGAAGAAGGAGGAGTGGGGGGGGGGGTGAATATAATGCTAACGATCTCTCAATAAAAGGGGAAATTCATCATTTGCATAATGATCCTTGAATTCGTTGAAAATTAATTGTCGATTTCATCGAAGAGTATTTCGACAGTGAAAAAAGGGCGTTGAGCGGGGGGGGGGGGAAGACGAACTCGTTAATTAAGTCAAGTGAATAATTTTAAGAACGACAAATTTGTACAAAAAAATAACATAGTAAAAAAAAATTTGAAAATAAGCATAATAAAAAATTTCATTAACTTATAAATTACCAAATAATAATAATAATAATAATAATACTAAAAATAACAAAAAATTTAAAAATCAAAAAGTAATGCTAATAATAATAATATTAAAAAGCAATGTGACTCACCAGGATCAGTGACGTAGGCAGTTCCCTCTTTTCGAATCGAAATTGAACAATCAAAATTATAAAATTCCGATAATTTCTCCCATTCCTCAGCCGTGACAATGCCATATCTGCAAAAAAAAAAAAGAAAATTTTTTTTTTGCTTTTTATATTTTCATTTAAATAAAAAAAAACATAATTTAACATTTTTTTTTTTTTTTTTTGAATTTTCTAAATTTTCGTCATTGTCGTCGCAGTTAAACTAATTGGGAAATATCAAAGGAGCTTTTCCAGGAATTTGCGATTTCCTTCGCTTACCGCTCACTCCCTCACCCCCCCCCCCTCTCTCTCACTCTCCACATCAGAAAGCGGGATAAGCTTTTTGTCACGGTTCCCTTAATTATACCGCAAATTAGAAATTTCTTGTGACTCGTTGCCTTCTCTCCCACCACCCCCCCCCACACACACACATATACTGCCACCCCCCCTCCCTTCGCCTCCTACTTCTCATTTCCCTCATTTCACCTATACAACGTGTGCACGTGCTTTTTGTAACACTGTACACCTCAACTAACATTTCTCTCTCTTTATATATATACATATATGAGCGAGTTTTTTTTATTTTCAAAAAATTTATCCAAGAATTTTAGATGAAAAAAATAAATAGATTACAATAAAAAGAATTAAATTTTTTAAAAATATTTTTCTATAGTTAAAAATAGAAGGTAAGTATGGTACAAATTACCCTACTACTCTGAAAGAAAGAAATTTACTTAAAAGTTTTTTTAATTTAAAATTAATTCCCCCCCCCACACACACTGTATTGGAGTCGGAATTTTGAAAATCTGATACCAAATTCGTAATCAGCGACCCCAAAAACCCCCCGAGTAACAAGTTTCAGACAAATCCGATGAATTTTGAAAAAATTGTCCGCCATATTGGATCCGCCATTTTGAGTTTTGAAAATCCAATCCCAGATTCGTAATCAGCGACCCCAAAAACCTCCCGAGTAACAAGTTTTAAGCGAATCCGACGAATTTTGAAAAACTTGTCCGCTATATTGGAGCCGCCATTTTGAATTTTGAAAATCCGATCTTAGATTCGTAATAAGCGAACCCAAACCCCCTCCCCCCAAAGTTTTGCGTTTTAAGGGAATTGAATTAAATTTTAATTTGTAAAAATAATTCTACCTTTTATGTCAAAATAGGTTATGTTTTAATAACTTAAAATTTTTCCCTTGTGGTAAGAAAATTTTAGGTTATGTTTGTGATACTAATAATAATAGTAGTAATAATAATAGTAATAATGATAATAGTAATAATAGTAACAATAATAATAGTAATAATAGTAATAATAATGGTGTTAATAATAGTAATAATAATAGTAATAATAATAATAATAAAATCAATATTTAACACAAAACATTTATGTTTAAATCATAATTAAATTTGAAAATTCCAATAAAAACTATATATATATATATATATATATATATATATATATATATATATATATATATATATATATATAATTGATTATACCGAATAAGAAACTTTTTATCAATAGGTAAAACTATCACTAAACATAACCTAAAATTTCCTCACTATAAGATCTCTTTTCCCCGTTGCTCGTCAAATATATTAAAACGTTATGAAAATTATTATTTACCGCCCCCCCCCCAATACACAAAAAAACTTTCGATAATATTCAGTAAAAGATAAAGAAAAATTTTTTTTTTTTAATTTATACACAAAAAAAAAAAAACCAATAATTTCCATTGAAAGTAAGAAGAAGGAGGAGGAGAAAAAAAACAAAATTATTATCGACGATAAAACTCTTTTTGACGATAATTAGTCACGAGACATTAATTTCGATTCAACGCAATATGCTGCACGGCCTAATTTGAATTTTCCCGTCCCAAATTCACTTTAACCCCCCCCCCACCCTCACCGCACCCCTTCGCCCCCTATCCCTCCCCCCACTTTGTTCCCCTACCAACAAACCTATAACCGCATCAATAAGAGCAAAAAGTGACGGATCAACGTGTTGTTTCATCCTATATTTGCCTAACGAACGAATAATAGTCGCGCACGTCGATAATGAAAAGGAAAAAAAAAAAGTTTATAGGAATATAATTCCTAAAGTACTAATAATTATTATGATATTTAGATATTAATTCCTACGCCAAAAATTAGCCGATTGTTAATTTGTAAAAGAAAAATTTTTTTTTTTTTAAATTAATTTGAAATATTTTTAATTGTTTTTTTTTTTTTAATATTTCTATTTTAAAATATTGTCACGATTAGAAATAGAGTAAGTGCACCAATTACGGCGCATTCATAAAAAATAGCTATTATTTATTATATTTAATATAACTGTTGTAAAATAATTGAAAAAAATTATTTTTATCTTTTTTTGATACAAATACTAATAAAGATGGATATTTAAACAATTATTAATTTCATTATTTTTGAGATCAAATTTTTTCCCTCGCCGTAATTGAAATATTTTTAATATTTCCATTGGCTCCAATTACGGTGGGCGCAAAGTATGTATCTTCAAAATACACGTAATTTTGGACACCGTAACTGATACAAACGCGCCGTAATAGAAAATTACGGTATTAGTTTTAATTTTTCATATTCATTTAAATAATCGATTTTTATTAAATTAAATTTTTTTTTAAATATTTAAATAACATTAACTTTTCGTTTAATAAGTTTCATATTGACTTTTTGCAATAAAAATGTCGAATTTTCTATTTCAAAGATGTTTTTTAATCGCGCCGTAATTAGTGCATTTTTACCCTAGTTTGCTTGTAATCTAAAATTTACTAAATTATTAATTACTATTAATTATAGTTAATTATTATTATTATTATTATTATTAAGTTATTATTTATTATAATTAAATTATTATTATTATTAAACTATTAATCATTATTAAATTACTAATTATTATTAAATTTTAATCAGAATTTTCATCAAAACGATTTTCTATATTACAGAATTTTTATATAATCAAAAATTTACTTCATAGAATTTTTATTTGTTCGAATTTTCATTTAACATAATATGGCGCATTTTAAAGAATTTTTATTGGCTAGAATTTCATTGCATAGAATTTTCATTTTATTCTTTAAGATGAATTTTCATTTATTTGAATTAGAAATTTGGTTAAATGATTTTTTAGATTAAAAAAAAAAATTCTACAGAACAAATCGTTTTTTATGGAAATTCAATCGAATAATAATTCCAACAAATGAAAAATTCAATTGAAAGAATAAAATGAAAATTCGATGCAATGAAATTCTACAAAACAAAAATTCTTTAAAATACGCCTATTATGTTAAATAAAAATTCGAGTAAATAAAAATGTTGCCAAACATAAAATTCGAAAAAATAAAAATTTTGTCAAGTGAATTTTCGGTTATATAAAAATTTTTTTAATATAAAAAATCGTTTTTATGCACGGAGAAAAAAAATGGAAAAACGAATAAAGTAACTTATTATTACTACTTTAAAAGGTAAAATCGAACCTGTTCACAGTTTCTTATTCGCATTTCTGGCAATTTTTACTCTAGAAATAATTAAATTTACTCCTGAAATAGTAAAAATTATTCCATACACAGTAAATTGAACTATTTCGAGATTAAAAATTGACAGAAACTGCGGACAGTTCCGGTTTTAATTTTAAAGTATAGTAAAAGTTACTTTATTCGTTTTTTCATTTTTCTCCGTGCATAAAAATTCTACAAAATACTAATTTAAACAAATAAAAATTCAGCTCAAAAATAATTATGACAAATGAAATTCCTTGAAATTCTAATGATTTTAAGAACATATTCATGTTTTCCAAAAATAAATCATTTTTTTTTCTTGATAAAATTCGATATAGAGTATAAAATAGAAAATAATAATAATAATTATACCAAAAATAAAAAAAAAATTTGACGTTAAAATAAAAAAATACTTAAAAAGCCCAAAATTCTTTGCTAAACTAATTTTTGTTTCCAAATCCCTTAGATTTAAAAATCCAAGTATAACCCCAAAACCAATATTTCCCCATAGTCTTTTCAAGTTTTCGAACAATTTTTTATCACATCTTTCCTTAATTCGTCTGAAGGTTAGAAAATTTCGTTTTTCTGCTGTAAAAAATAAAAAGAAAATTCGATTAAAAGCTGTTAACGACTGAGAATCAAAAAAAAAAAAAAAGTGAGAAAAAAAATGAAATGTAAGGAAAAGAGGGTAAGGGAGTGGGATGAAGGGAGGAGGGGGTGATGGTAGAAAGAGAGGGGGGTGGGGGGTCGAATAGAAAAAAAATGATTTTTTAACGGTGTCCCGTTAGAGAGAGAGAGAGAGAGAGAGAGAGAGAGAGAGAGAGAGAAGAGGGTGACTTAAGCTGAGCAGTCGCTATCTTAGGCAGATAGTGGACAATAGCTTAGCATAATGGTCAGAGGGTTAGATGGCAACTTGGATGGCCCCGGGGTGTGTCGGTGACATTTTCGCGTATCCATCACGTGGCCCAAGAGGGTGTCTTCCACGACTCCAATAGAATGAGAGGGGTGAAAGGGGGGAGGGGCGGAAAGAGGAAGAGTCAAGAGATCAGGAGACGTGTCCCTGAGGTCACGCACTTTCACTTTATAATTCACTCTTGGACAGAAATCTTGTTTGGACAGGGAAATTTATAACAAAAACAAAAAAAAAGGAAGGACAAAAGAAAAAAAAATTGTACACAAAGAGACGAGAGAAAAAAAAAAAAGATTTACAACGAAAATTGTCAAATAATATGCGAAAAAAAATATCTTCTTTCGAAATTTCCTATTAATCTATTTGGCAAAATATTAAGTAGATAATAAATATTATTGAAAATATAAATATTTTCGAAAAGAATTTTAAAATAGAATTTTTAATAGCCTGCAAAAGTATAGAAATTAGAAGAAAAAAAAAAGATTAATTTTTTTTTTTTTTTGAAAATGACGGAAAAATATTATACGAAAGACACTATTTAGAGGTTATGATAGAAGCTTAGTACTGAGGTCGTTAAAGTAGAAATTAGCAATACCGATATATGATAACTATTTTAAAAATTAAATTATTTGGAGGTTATGATGGCATTGAGGCTAGTATTGAGATCGGCAAAGTAGAAATCACCAATACCGATATATGATAACCATTTTAAAAATTAAAAAACAAAAACTAGATTTCGTTTTTTAAATATTATAACAGATTAATAATTTGGAAGAAAGATGGAAAAAAATATATATTTACCCATCATTCGCCGTTGGAGGTGGAGTGTACAAAAATCCTTTATGCTTCTCGCAGACCAAGACAGAGTTCTTGATTCCCACTGGTGGTGATTTTTTACACGTTTCAGCGAATCTGTAACAGAAAAACATATTATTATTATTATTATTATTTAATAATTTTATAATACAAAGAGTATGGTTATTTTTATTTATAAAATTACATATAAATATTATATCTTATAATATATCTTCAGTAAATAACAGTGAAACAATAAATCATAAATAAACGACAATCCTTAAATGTGTCATTACCATATATATATATACATACGATCATTATTTTAATCCTCGGAGAGAAATATAAATATGTACATGTATAAATTTTTTTCTAATCTAAATTTTCCAGAGGAGTGTTTTTTTTAAATTGCGATGTAAAAAAAAATATAACCTAAAATTTTAAGGTTATTTCTCCATGAAACTGTTGTGGTTTAGATTATATTCGGCAAACATAACCTAAAAAAAAATTCAAGGTCACAGTCAAGAAACCATTGAATTTTAGAGTATAGGTTCGGCAAACATAACCTTAAACCCTAACTTTAAGGGGCCGTCCATACCTATTTTAGGGGGAGGGGGGGGGGTGGTCTAAAAAGTATGAAAAAATTGGTAACGTAGTTTATGAACGGCCCCTAAGGTTATAGGACAATAAACCCCTTTTAAGTTACTTTCGTTACAAACATAACCTCAAAATTCAAGGGCATATGTCAAAAAAAAAAAATTTTTAATTTTAGATTATCAAGAAATTATATATATACGCAAAAATATATCGTAACCCTAAAAAGTGCAAACATAATAAAAAGGCTTAAAACATAACCTGAAAAATTTCCCCTCATTTTTTTTAAACTTTGCAGTGTAGAGAATTATTATTCTTATGATTTTATTTTTTTTTTTTTGATTTTTTTATAAAGTTGTCAAGGCGCTTAATCGTTTCGAATAATGTAAGCTCCTTCGTGACATGGTCGACTGAGAGAAGGAAAAGTGTGAGAGAGCACATATATGTATATATAGGAATGAGAATGTAGGAAGATTCGAGCAGACGAAGACTTCCTGCGGGACTTTTGGAAAAGCTATTGGGGAGGATTGGGGTTGTGCATCATTTTTCACATGGCGCTGGAGGCGGACGCGTTTTCTCTCTTTCCCTCTCTCTCTTTCTCTCTCTTTTTCACCCATCCTCCCAAACAACCAACAAGCATTCAGATAATGTCCTTAAAGAAGGATATCCCTTGCGACCCTGAATTATATAAGATAAGTGGCCGCGAATACGACACAATTCAAAATATCACCTTCAAAATTATCGATTTGCGGGAAAATCAATAGGAAATGGAATTTTTTTTTTCCCCATGATATATTAAAGATTTTAGTTTTTTAAATTAAAACTATTTTTAAAATTAATATCAAAAATTGGAAAAAAAATTTAATTTTCCTCAACAATTTCTAAATCAAAATTTTTCCGTTTTTTCTCCAAAATACCAAAAAAATTTCAACTTTCCCCAAACTTTAAAAATTATGTTTTGCGAATTAAAATCCAAAAACGCTATAATTTTCAAAAAAAAAAAAAAAATATCAAATATCTCATTCAAAAAAAAAATTTTTTAAAAAAAAAACCCAGAACTAGATAATTAAAACAAAAAAAAAGAAAAAAAGAGACGAGTTTCTCATCATCATAAACGGGGTAAATATACACTCGTGTATGTTAAAACTGTTTACCCCCTCACCAACCTCCTCGGATTTCTTTTTTATGAACCCTTTTTTTTCGGTTAAAAAAAAAGTGAGGGAAGAGGGGGGTAAAAGGGGGGGGGGGATTTTTAACTCTACCAGAGACGAATACCGTATTAATTATGCGCCTTGTTCAAATATAGAAACAAAGTGAAAACAGTGAACGCATTGTCGTCCTACCCCCTTATATTATTACCCAGCAAACGAATGTGAGAGATTTTTTTTTTCCTCATCGGTTTTCCCCGCGCGTACAATACTTTTCTCCAAAAAGCATTTTTATGTATGTGTGTGTGTGTGTGTGTATGTGTGTTCACAGGAGCCTTTGTTTAACTTTTGTCGCGGAATTTTTCCCGACGACCTCGTAAACGATATTATTACTCCCCGGAGATGGTCGTTTTCGCGCGCGCGAATAGCCAATGTTTTAAAACTTGTCCCGCCATTTGAGTACAAACAGAAAGTTTAGAGAGAGAGAGACAGAGAGAGAGAGAGAGAGTATTATTGTGCATTTAATACAAAAAAAAGGAAATAGAAAGATAAGAGATCAATAAACTCAATTTTAGGTTATTTTTTATTTTAAAATCGCATTATTAAAATTTGACCCTTAACTGCAGTTTAAATTAAGCCTATAAATCGAAGCTAAAACCTGATGGAAAAATAAAAACCCAAACATAACCTATACATATGGTAAAATTAAACCAAAATCTATAAGCTGAACCTAAACCTAATCTAAAAATTAAAACTAAACCAAAGCTTAACCTAAAATAAATCTAAACCTAAATGAAAATTAAAACTAAATTTAAGCTAAATCTAAATCTAAATTACAAATTAAACCAAAAGCCAAACCAAAGCTAAAACTAAACTAAAATTAAACTTAAACCAAAGCCAAACCTAAGCTAAAATTAATCATAAAAATAATCTAAAATTAAACGAAAAATCAAAGCTAAACCTAAACCAAAGCCAAACCTAAGCTAAAATTAAACCTAAACCTAAGATAAAATTTTATCTAAACCAAAGATAAACCTAAATCTAAGTTAAAAATTAAACTAAAATCAAAGCTTAAGCAAAGTTAAACCTAAATTAAAATTTAACCTAAACCAAAGCTAAACCTAGACTAAAATTAAACCTAAACCATAGCCAAAACTAAGTTAACACTAAACTAAAATCAAACCTGAAGCTAAGATAAAATTATTTCTAAATCTAAATCTAGGTTAAAAACTAAACCAAAGCTAAAGCAAATTTAAACGTAAATTAAAATTTAACCTAAATCAAACTTAAATCGAGACTAAAATTAAACATAAACATAACCTAAAATTAAACAAAAACCAAAGATGAACCTAAAACTAAACTAAAACCTATACCAAACCAAATCTAAACTAAAATTATACTAAAACCAAAACCAAAGCTAAACCTAAACTAAAATTAAACCTAAACCATAGCCAAAACTAAGTAAACACTAAACTAAAACCAAACTTGAAGCTAAGATAAAATTATTTCTAAATCTAAATCTAAGTTAAAAATTAAACCAAAACCAAAGCTAAACCAAAGCTAAAGCAAATTTAAACATAAATTAAAATTTAACCTAAATCTAACCTAAATCGAGACTAAAATTAAACATAAACATAAACTAAAATTAAACAAAAACCAAAGCTGAACCTAAAACTAAACTAAAATAAAACCTATACCAAAGCCAAACCTAAACTAAAATTATATACTAAAATCAAAACCAAAGCTAAACCTAAACTAAAATTAAACCTAAACCATAGCCAAAAATAAGTTAACACTAAACTAAAACCAAACTTGAAGCTAAGATAAAATTATTTCTAAATCTAAATCTAAGTTAAAAATTAAACCAAAACCAAAGCTAAACCAAAGCTAAAGCAAATTTAAACCTAAATCAAAATTTAACCTAAGTCAAAGCTAAATCTAGACTAAAAATTATTTCTAAACCTAAGGTAAACCTAAATCTAAGTTAAAAATTAAACCAAAACCAAAGGTAAACCAAAGCTAAAGCAAATTTAAACCTAAATTTAAATTTAACCTAAATCAAACCTAAATCTAGACTAAAATTAAACATAGACATAACCTAAAATTAAACTAAAACCAAAGCTGAACCCTAAACCTAAACTAAAATTAAACCTAAACCAAAGGCAAACCTAAACTAAAATTATACTAAAATCTAAGTTAAAAATTAAATCTAAACTAAACTAAAATAAAACCTATACTAAAGTCAAACCTAAAATTATACTAAAACCAAAGCTAAACCTAAACTAAAATTAAACCTAAACCATAACCAAAACGAAGTTAACACTAAACTAAAACCAAACCTGAAGCTAAGATAAAATTAAATCTAAACCAAAGGTAAACCTAAATTTAAGATAAAATTAAACTAAGTATTTTTAATTAACAAGATTGAAAATTAATAATTAATTAATAATTAATAATTAAGTTGATACGAAATTTGAATATATCGAATTTTTAAATTTAATAGAATTTTCTTAAAAACTGCGTCAATTTGACCGAAATTTGGAAATGTCCTAAGAAACATATAACCTAGAATATTTTTTATTAATAAAGTTAAAACACAAATCAACTCCGTTATTGGGTCCCACAGTTTCTCTGCAACGAAAAACGGTATATATACGTGATTATATCGAACAACAACCTGAACTTAAGAGAACTCGTAAAATTGCGCGGTCCAGTACAGCATCCATCGCCACAACCAATTAACATCCGCTCCGGAAAGTTTTAGAGAAGATCGACTATTAACTTTCAGGTCTCTCTCTCTCTCTCTCTCTCTCTTTATTCTTCTCTCAATTTCCAGCTTCCACGGGCAAACTATTTAAAAGCAAAAGCCAATTTGTGATGCGAGAGAGAGAGAGAGAGAGAGAGGACCTCGATACATATATACAGCAAAAGAGCAAAGTCATTCAGTCATTGTGGTTTCGAGTCTTATTACTCTCCCCGCGCAAAAGATTGAGAGAGACAGAGAGAAAGAGAGCTGGGACATAATATCCTGTTCTATGCACGAACGAATCTGGTGACAGCCCCTCTCGTATAGAAACTAAACCAAGCGCGACGAGTCGCGAGCCTCGACAACCCTTAAAAAAAAAAAATAAAAAAAAATTGATAATAAATGAAAAAAATATCAGTTTTCTCTTTCAAAAAAAAAAAAAAAGAATGAATCCAAGGAGTATAGTTGCTTCCTTGGTCATGCTCGTTAAGCAAGACAAGTTTTATCCCATTTGGAAATTGACTATTCTTTTTTTTTTTTGAAACCCATTTTAATAGTTTTTTAAATAACCTTGTCAGCGTAACGGTAACCTGTAGCAACTATTGCCATAGTCACAGAGACCAAATTTT